ACAATGTGAAGTCCTCCACCCCTTGCATGAAATGATTGGGAATCATCAACACCAGTTACACGAATGAAAGGTGGTCCTCCAGGACGACATGCAAGAGCTTGAATAAGCAACATCCACTGAGTTCCCTGTGCAATTTGGAAGTCAATTATGTGAATTCTTGATTCATTTAGCATTGCTTCTCCAATGACAACATTTGCAGATATGTAAGCAAACTTCCAATATGGGCAAATCTGATACAGAATGTGCATGTAACTCATGAGATCTTTGCTTGCTGGTTGTTCACATTTCAATGCTTTGTAGATGTGGCTCCCTGAAGACCCCAACCTTGCTCTTAGACCCTCCAACATATAAGCACCTAACCTCTGGCTCGGATCACCCACAACTGATACCATCTTTGGCAAAACATTATTCATAAATCCCACTGCTGTTTCAATATCATCATCAGACACAGCTTGTGCACACCGAATTAGGACTTCTTTCAAGTCTAATTTTGGAATCATTTCCACAATCTGATCCCAATCATATTTAGCCATTGGAGGTGCTCCGTGATGGCCACCCTTGTAGCAGCAGTGACAACTGTCAACAATATCTGAATCAGTCCCCAACAATGAAATCTCCAGTTCTCTAAGCTTGTGCTTCAATTCGTAGCTATCATCAGCACTAGAGTGCACACTTGTTGGTGATTCATAAGTGTTGTCAGAAGACTGATGCTGGTCTGAGTGGTATGAATGAGAAGCCTGTGGAGAAAAATGACTCCTTCTATTGGAATTGGATGATTCGCTAGCATATGAAGGAGAATCACAACCTATGAGGTCATTGATTGCTGGGGATGATTCAAGGGTAAAGTATTGCTCCTTGCAGGGTTCAAAAGAAATTGTGGTTCCCTGGCTGCTGCTATCATGGATTTCATGGCATGAATTGCTTTGTAATATTTGGTAATGAGTGTAGGGATCAATGTCTTGCACAGGCTGGTGGTATAAATGGATACCAGCTGAAGTTGAGTGTTTCTGGGACGTTTGCATCTAGAAAGAAAATATTTACTCGGAAGAGAGAAAGTGATCACAATAATGAGTGGTGAAACTCTGTAATTGTACAAATCCTTCCTAACTGTTCCAGATCACCCGTTCATCAAATGCACAAAGCTCCATAATACCGTTTTGCTTGATGGTCAATCTTCATTTTGATAAACTGCTAGACGCTTTAAATATCAGCAAAAATTGTTGTCGACAACCGTTCACCAATATGCTAAAAGAGTCAAAACCTGCATAATGAGGTAAGTGTCAAAGGAAGTTCAATGTTGATTAAGTAAAGCAAGAAATCAATTTTAACAGCTTGCCAAAGCAAGATATGATAAAATGACGATGTACTAAAGAAAAGCACATTAAAACTTGGAAATATGATGCTGATGCAATCTATAACACAAAGATTTCAGGTCACTGAGGAGGTTCTAATGTAAATGTTTCCATGTAGAGAAAAAAATTAAAATCATGCTAGGATCCACCAGCACCAACCCTTAAGGCAGAAATAGAACACTAGAATGAAAAGATATGTTTGTTTGTAAAGAATCATGTTATACAATACACCACAAGATAGCAATTATACTATGCAGGCAACATATCCCAGCATGATGATCATGGTGACTTGGAAGGGAGCCCAATTTCCATATAGGTGTATAAGAAAAAAAAAAAAAGACTATATTTTATTTGTTTTAGAAGTTCTCTACCACAAGGCAAATAGAATTAAAAAGGGCAAGAAAAAGAACATTCAATTGCTCTAGAAATCACGAGATGCAAACACAATAAGAGTCAAATTTAGAAAGGGTCAAAAGAAAGGGGAAAGATAAGAACAAGCAGATACGCACTCAAATTAGGATTTCTTTCATGAAACAGGAAGGTGGTGTTGTCAAACCTCTAATAACTTAAAGATTTAAATCAGCAATACTTTTTAAAAAAATCATCCACTAGTAAAACTAATAATAGTTTATCTAAATAGAGATCAGAGAGGACCTTGGCAACCAAAAGAACAGATTACAAAGCAAGGAGCAAAAACAAATATTGATTCCTCACTCCTGAGAAATTACTATTCAACAAATAGGCTAGCTAGCATAGCACATAATCCATTTTACTGAGGGGAAAGACTCAAAATTGAAAGCCTAAAGAAAATGACCAGTAAAAAAGAAACAAAGGAAATGCTAGACAAGCATAATTATTGCTAGAGATGAATTAAGAAAATCATATATTCCGAAAAAAATGCAAATTCTAGAACGTTTTCGGAAAAAGTTAAGTAACTGCCAAAATAAAGTAGTTTTTCTTTAACAAAGTCGGCAAGAAAGAACCGTAAAATACTCAAACACAGATAACAATGCTCTAAAAGCCAGATGCTAGAACAACACCAATCCAAACACGGTCCAAGCACCCCCACCAACTCTTATGTCCAAGAAATGGAACCAACAAGCTTGAGAAACGGAAAGCTATCTTCACGCAACAAATCAGACCCGAAAATTTTGACCTTTTATGAAAATAGAAACTGAAGTTTCTAACACAAACCCAGATAAATTCTAGTCAAACATGGTCTTCAAACAACACAAAACCTCTCATGACCCATCTCATGAACCTTAAACGACAGAACATACCTTTTGTAGAGGGTGAGGCTCAGATTCATAGGTTGAGTTATGTGTTGTGTGGCAGAGATTGGTGGGAAGGAAGAGAGCGGTTTTGCAGAACGAATGCAGAGTCCAAAAACGATAGATTGGTAACCAGTGAGCGTTGTTCTGATTTTTAATGTTTCATTAATATTACATCATATCACCATATGACATATATTTATAATAAACAAATGCATGGTGAGAATTGACCCTATGAAATGGTTATAATTACATGATGACCCTTACGTGGGACCTGCATGTAACAGTGCCACTCGGTTTCAGGGTTAACAACAGCCACCAGAAAGATATGTATGGAATTGAATAGCATGTCGAATTTAATAGAAGGTTCTTCTCCGACTCCGAGTAAAGTAGGTACTTTACTCTCTTACAAGAACACCCAAAAAATTAAATAATAGTAGAACCGTACTCTCACTCATAGTCTTACTTGTCGTACAAACTTAAAAAAAAAAAAAAACAGAAGAAAATATATGCTCATATATACCTTATCTTGTTGCTGACTTTTTTTTTTTTTAACCTACCCCTGTTTTAATTTGTATACGACTACTATTTCGTAAGTCGTTGATAAGTGTGGCTTTCATTTAAAATGAATGTTATCGTACTTGACTGTACACAGGACTCTATCATGTACTAAGTCAATAGATGAAATTTGAACCATTAAGTTGTCGATTAACTTGCATGATTTCATTTATAATAAAAAATTATAAATAATTCACAATATGTAAGATTTATACTTCAAAACATATTATAAAGTTTTCGGGAATAGAAATATTAAAATTTTTAAGATTATAGACATTCATCAAATTAAAATGAGGGTAATTAAGTAACATGATAAACAAAATTTTAAAAAAATATTAAAAACTCGTGCACAAACAAGTAGAAATGGAGCAACCTCCACCTAGTCCAACTAGTAAACACAAGAAAAAAAATGTAGTTAACGACTTACACACTAGAACAAGATTGTGTTGTCATATAATGAGCAGATGCACATTATTGTATGGTGAGTATAGATGATGAATAATGACAAATGTTGAAGGTTATGTCATTGTACGTGATGAGATGATGAATTCACCACACTAGCAAAGTTGCAACATTATTGTCGGAGTGTGCGATTGTGAGAGAGGAGAGACGATAAATGTTGTGCAATACAATTAGATCAATGTGACAAAGAAGAGCAATGAACGAAGGAAATGAACAAATATAGGAGAGTTGCGAACATTGTACTGTTAACATAAAAAATAAAAAATGCATTAACTTAGTTAGGTCGATCAAACCTATCATGTCGTCAGTTTTTTGTCATATCCACTAAGTCAAACCAAATTGCACCGAGTTGAAAGCATCTCTAATCCATTGACTAGCTTGAACCAATTAAATGGTAGGTTCTTAGATCAATCGATTGAATCAACCAATTTGAATTGAGTTTTATAACACTGTTAAAAATATTTATTTATGTTAAGATGTAGGAGATGAAAATTAATTCAATTTTGAAAAGAAGTTTTCTATGTAAAACATAAATTAAGAATCAACTTAGTTTTGAGTTTTTATTTTAACATATAATTTATCTCAAATATAATTGAATTTAAGTATGTTTAATCTCTTCCATTAAATGAAATGTGACTATTTAACATACTAATATAATGACTATTAAAAAATGTGGTTATTAATATTTTAAAGAAAAGGTATACAAAACAAATATTTTAAAGAAATTTGATTTTTTTTATATCAAATCACAATTAAAAAAATGTGTACAAAGACAACTCTAATATTATATCATAAGACCTCTTTGAAACATTTGTAGTGAAAGTATCTAAGTGAAGGAATTAAATTACATTTCATCAAATGAGAATGTTTGCTTCCTTGAAACATTTACAATGAATATATTTGAGTGTAGGTTTAAATTATATCTCTCGTCAAATATAAACGTCAACATCAAGTCTTTAGGTTAATTTTCATCATAACAATGACTCAAATTTTAGTTTTATTCACTTGTTTGTCTCAAGGTTGGAGGGTTGTGCACTCTACAAAGTCTTTAATTAAGTTGATTTTCATCTTAACAATAACTTAAATTTTACTCATTTGTCTATTTGGCTTAAGATTGAAAATTTGTGTATTCTTTAAGTTTTTAGGTTGACCTTTATCTATACAGTAACTTGATTTTTTGCTTCATTCGTCCATTTGGCTTGAGGATGGAGGGTTGTATACTTTGAGGTTTTAGGTTAAGTTCTTATATATATATATCAAACTTAAGTCAACTCCTTTTGGTCAAGTTAAAACCAACTTCCTTAGATTGATCTAGAATCGACCTTTTATGGGCAAGCTTGTTGGTTAAATTTGATTATCAAGCTTGACCTAAGAAATATGACAAATATGGTAATGATGATGATAAGATATTTCTTCAAAGGTCAATTGCAACTAACTAACTCTTGGTAGAAGGACTAGCCCTCTTCATGACATCTTGGAGGGAGACAAAGCACACACTTGAATAGGCTAACTCTTAGAATGTGGATTATGACCTAATTCAACATATAAAATTAGCCTTTACTAGCTTGTAAGGTTAGAATTGTCTCCATTTATATATTTTGTCTAATGTCTAATCAATGTGAGACTTAAATTTTTTCAATGCACTCTTTCATCAATATTATATTTGTTTGGCGAAATTATAAATTGTTAGTATAAATATTATAAATCTATATTAATTACATGATGTATATTGTTCATAGACAATGTATAAATTTTATCAAAAAAATTTATTAAAATTGATGATATTTTCTAACCTTGCAAAATGGTGTCGTTTTTTACTCAAAATTCTTTTGTGTGTGTGTGGGGGGGGGGGGGTG